TTATAATTTTTTTTGTATTATAAATAATGCAAAAATAACACTGGTGACATCTAGCCTACTGTACTGTGCCTCTTTGCCATCTTAATGAGCTCTGTTCTCAAAAATGGCATCTTCACTATGTTGTCGTAACAGAAAGCTCATTTGTGTTCTGTTGTGCTGTCACCTCATTTGCAGCATTCTTTCCTCTTCTTTTCACACCCTGCTTCTGTATTTGTGTTTCAGTCGGCGAGTCAGGAGCTGGAAAAGCACCACGCAGTCTCGCTCAGCACATTCCAGGTCCTGGGGGGATAGAAGGCATGAAGGGGGCAGCGTCAGGCATCGTGGGTGATCTAGCTCGAGCTCGGATAGCGTTGGATGAGAGAGGGCAAAAACTGAGTGAGGTGGAAGAGCGGACGGCAGCCATGATGGCCAGCGCTGACTCATTCTCCAGACACGCTCATGAGGTACAGCGTTACCACCGTTGACGCCAATAACAGATGAATAACTTCTTAAAAATAGCTAAACATTTATGTATTACATAAATTCATTTTATGTGCATTACAGTCATTGTGGCAGTACAGCTGGCGTCTCTAACTTAGTTCTTCTTTTTACTGTCTTTGCTCCCTGTTGCAGAAGATGCTAAAGTGTAAGGATAAAAAATGGTACCAGTTCTGATCTCCGCAAAAAAGCAGAGCCCAAAGGGACTCAGGAGTTCTCCTACACAGCCTTGTTCATCTGTAATCCTTCTCCTTCTCCCACTCCTGTCTTTATCTCTCCTCTGCTGGACCAATGGGATCCCTCGCTCTTTCCTAGCACAATGTTAAATACAGTCTGCTTACAGAACTGCAGCACAGACTGAGAGCAGCCCCAATCTGAGGAATACCATACCATGATGGCGTCCACTCTTCGGTTTTTGTTTGTTTGTTTAATAGCGCCAATCCTCTCTCATGATGGCTGGGCTTTGCACGCCCTGAAATTCCATTTCTTCGCTCAGTCTTTGAATTGTTTTCGTGCTGTTGTTTTTTGCAATCATGTCCTGCCTCCCGCATCAGAGAGCAGTAAATAGTCAAAAAAGACTGACTAAACAAAAAATACAATAACTAAACAACAAACATCATAAAAATCTAAAAAAAGAGTATATATACATAATTCTATGTAAATCTCCATTAAAGTCTGTAAAAATGCCTTATTCACTATTGACTGTCATAAGGAAAACTGAAATACGAAGACACCAGGTGAAGCACGGGAAGAGCTCTGTTCACAGGAAATGATGTCGTAACGTGGAGGAGTCAAACCTTTCAGAAGAGAGAACATCGCCCTTCTCCTGAAATGTATTCAGTGTATTTCTGTCAATTTTCCTAAATTACCCATTTGGTTTAATTACCATTTTAATATTATTTATTTATTTAGCAACAAACTAGAAATAATCTGTAAAATCAACTGTAAATGTCTAATTAAATATAAAATGCTTTTTGGGTGATATTTTTACGGAATTATTGTGAATATCACTACAATAATGCTTTACATTAAAGTACCATCTAGAGGGTTTATAATAAGTTGACATGATCCAGAGAATGAATCGACAGATCTATGTGGTGAATGAATTATGAAATAACTATTTATAAACCAACTGTGAGTGATTTAATGATGGTATTTTCATGTGATACATTATACAGATGTTTTAAACTTTCTATGAAACTCCGTGCTGAAAATATCTGGTCTGGACTGAGTTGTGAAAGAAAGTAGGCAAATGCAAGGTTTAAAGTTATCCATGTTTTGTTGGGTAGACAGCCATATAGACCTCAACAGCTAGAGCATTTGTTGTGACTGAAAATTACATCACAGTCTCTTCGGCGTTGACTCTGGGATTTGATTTTGCCCAATAGACCAGCTTTCTCATTCCTGCATACTGCATAGATTAAACCACTTGAACATAGACGCTTTAGTTGAACATGTAGAGATTGTACTTAAGTAAATATTTTGGTCCACATTTCATTTGTTAAATAAAAAGCACTTACTGTACTGTTGGAAACAGCTCTTTTCATGCCTGGAAATTTGGACCGGTTTTCCAGCTCTAATCTTTGGTGACTTGAGAACGCTTTCACTGACTTGGAAACAATATTCATTGTAGTTCTGAATGTCAGTATAACATGTTTCTATCTGGTTTCACACTGGTGCTTCATGTGTAATGCAATGGCACAGAACATACTTCAATTACATCTTCATCTGTGAAAACACCTACAATGAGTGTTACAAAACCAGATAACTATAGAATTTAGTAACATTAAATACAAAAAAAAAAAACTTACAGAAAAGGTCTTTCTTGTCCCATTTCTCCCTTGAAACCACATTTTAGTGCCATTATATTTATTTGCAAGATGGTTTGCAAGAAATGCTGCTATATATGTTGCATTGATCACATGATCCATTGTCGTTCCAGGTACTGATTCTCACTTGCCTCTCTGCCCAAAGTTTTGTGCCATTCTATGAATGAAGAAGTAGTTCGACAATCTGGGAGCATAAATTGCAAGTGGTCCTGGCCATACTGACCCTAAGACAGTTGCCATATCTTTTCAAACGCCAAAGATTTTCTTTCATTGAGTTCTGTATTCCATTGACTGTTCGACTGCTGTTTGTGTCTGAAGTACCACCTCATATTCCACCAGTAACAGTGTTGAGGACTTTTCTGATGTTTTTGGCTGTGTGCTAGTCTGCCTTTCGTGTGTTTCGTATGCCGTACTTCAAACGAAGTAAAATGGGGGGAAAAAGAATTACAAAACAAAACCAAGCCAATCTCTCTCAGACTAAATGTTTCTCTGTGTTGGACTCTATATTCTCTGTAGATGTGTTTTCATGCCATGGTGTTAGTGTTTCCGAAGAACGGGTTTGTTTTTCAATATCTCGCTCGTATGTCATCTCTCCTGATTAACTAATTCAATTATATTTGTACGATGTGTATTTTTCTCTGCAGTACTGTATTTCCCTGGATAGATATCCTTGTCATATTTTTAATCGTCTATTATTAAAAAAATTATTTTTATATATGCTTTGAGGAGGACGTACTTTGAGCTCATTGCACTCTGTTACTTGTCTTCATGTCTTTGTTTTCTGTTGTGGTCTGTTTGTTCATGCCATCATTGACACAATGGGTGATTTTTGAATGAAACATGAGTAAGCGTTTCCTCTAAATTCTTGCATAAAAGTATGGTTCATTAAAAGAAATGCCATACATTTGATTATGTGTGTTCGAAAATACATTTTTGGCCCCAACGTGGTTGATACAATTCAAAACCAAAAATTATTTTTCAAGATGTTGGCTCATGTACTCACGAGATGATTCCAGGAAATATTTGATGTTCTAGGTTGCTATTTTGTCAGTCATTCGATAAAGTATCCAATCAGCCGTGTTGAACTGTAATGCTGTAAATGTCAATAATAAGTGTTCAAACTCCAGCAGAATTTGTTCACACCTTCAGTTCATTCATGTCTGTTTCAGAGAGGTTTCAGACTGACTCTTAATGTGAGCCCTTTGTCATCTTTAATGGCTAAGGAGGAAAAAAAAAAGGTTCTTGTTGCTTTCTTGGCTTTAATTTTATTTATTCATTTTGTAATGTTTCATGTTGACTTTAAGTGAATTGTTTTATTTGTCTCAGACAGAACATTCTTACCTGAAATATTACACTTTTAACATGCAGAAGAGCCTCGTTCGTTTTCTGTCCTGAATATAATGGTTATCAGTGGGTTGCAGTATTTTCTCATTGTAGCCAATTTCTTGTACAGTTTTATGCAAATTTCACATGGATGTTTATGACTATCTGCTGCCACAAACAATTTAGAATTTCTGTAGATAGATTACTGTGCAATGGAAAATAAAACGATTTAAAATTATTTCCTTTGTTGTCTTGCTCATGGTTCTAGTACTTAAATAAATTTGTTAAAGTGTCCCATTTTATTAAACATACACTCTAAAAAATGCTGGGTTAAATACAACCCAGTGCTGGGTAAAATAGGGACAAACCCAGCAATTGGATTGTTTTGACCCAGCGGTTTGGTTAAATGGTTAACCCAGCCTTCTGGGTAGTAACCCAACCGCTGGGTCAAAACAGCCCAATTGCTGGGTTTGTCCCTATTTTACCCAGCACTGGGTTGTATTTAACCCAGCATTTTTTAGAGTGTATCAGAATTATTTTTTTGTATGCTTTGTATGTTTTATAAAGACTTTTGTTTAAGAAGAGCATATCCTTTGCCTGTGATTAGTTGGATGTTGCAGCCTGACCATACCCACTACAGTGATATCAATTATATGATTGTCAGAAAGATAAAGACCTTTGTGGCAATTAATAATGATCGTTACATCCTACTGATCTTTAAAGGGGAAAGAAATAAGGAAACTCGTTTGTCTCACTTTTGCTGAACGCACCCTTATTGATCATGGAAATGTGATCAGTATTGATATCTCAAAGCAGTGAGAAGATATGGAAAGGATGTTGTTATACTATAAAAGACCACAAGGAGGGGTAGTAATACAAGGAAAAATGTTTATCAAACTGCACTGAGGCACGACTCTGGTTTTAGTAAGGAGTTAATGATGAAGGCATTAAAAATCAGATCTAATTTGAAACAACACAATGAAAAACGTTTTAATAAAAAGCATACCCTAGGACATAAACATTTCTCAGTTTGAAGAAACAATTTTAACAGTATGCATTTTGTATTAACATATAGGGAGGGGTCAACTGAGGTTGATTGGGACACTTTTTGTAATTTAATTGACTGAGAGTGTCCCAACCAACCTGAATTCGCCTCTCACTATAATATTATGAATATGAATGTTTTCTCCAATTGCCAACTGCGGAATTAAAACAGGTTATTTTAGTATCATTTATATAACCTACAATTATAATATTTACAGTTTTTATTTTTTATGTTAGTTTAATCATTTTGTTATGTGTTTTTGTCATTTTTAATATTTATATTTACATTTATTTCAGTTTTAGTAATTTTAGTTCTCCAAACTAAACTCATTTATTACAGTTTACCGTTTTTACGTATACGTTTTTCTTCTAATTTTATTTTGAATATGCTACATAGGCTACTAGTAACAATCATAATATGATGTGTACATGGCGTCTTTTTCTAGCCCAAAATATTTTTTTTTTCTAGCCCAATATATATGTATTGCCCAATTTTAAGGCAGGGGGCACCATACGACTGTGCCATAAAGTGAATACCGCGTACAGCAGCGCTTCTAAATGAAATCCTCTTCCAGCAGCAGAGAGGAGACCCGCGCTCCTGCGCAACACGCATAGCAGACAGGCAGACAGACAGACAGACAGCAGCCAGTGCCGTTACCTCAACACCACAGCTCGCGCGCACCTTTACCTTCTTCGGCTTTGGCAAAAATTCAAGTCACAAAGTTTTGGATTAAAACAATACGGAAATAAATTCTGCCTATCTGTTTTAAGAAGCGATATGCAAGGGTTTCATTTACCTCAAACTTTGACAAACTGACAGTTTTGACAGCGCGTGCCCAGATTCAAACCGTGTCTGCTCACCAACCGTCGCCTAGCTGAGAAAAACCAATCTTTTTGCGCCGCCAACGCGATTACGCTGCTCAGCAAATAGTGGCAATAAGTCTGAAACCACATGTGCTCGTCTCCAAACCGGAGAGACGCGGTTTCATTTGTCTTCAGAGAGGAAAAGAGTTGGCTTTAAGCCGTACTGACAGACACAAGGGAAGGACAGTCTCGTGAGAGCGCCGGAGAAGACCATTGGAAATCCACGCGGTTTGTAATATTCACGTTTATTCATGGCACTACTGCGCGAACAGTTGAAATAAACGGGGGAAATGTAGTCTTTGTGGATGGTTATCAGTATAGCCACTTTTGACGCTAACTGTTGCCGGTGAATGGCTCTTTAAACGCGGCGAAGGGGGGCGGTAGTTGTGGAGTGTACGGCAATGCCAAGTTGATGGGTCTCGACATTTTCAGTATTAATAAACGCTGAAGTGCCCATCACCGTCTGTTTAACATTTATGGGTTCGTCGATATTTTCAAAACATTCCCTGCTATCAAAACATGGAGAGGAATGCTGAACGAAGATGACGTTTTGACTGGGATATTCACGTAAACCGCAGGCGCACGCGCTGTCAGTCACCTGCTTATAAAGGTAAACGCACCTTTACGCTTAAACGCCGTTCAAAATGATGACTAACGGACCCAACATCGTCTACGAATGGCTGAAAACCCTTCAGCTGTATCAGTATGTCGAGGCTTTTGTGGATAACGGATACGACGACTTGGAAGTTTGCAAACAAATCGGAGACCCGGACTTGGATGCCATCGGGGTGTTCATTCCGCACCACCGCCAGCGGATTCACGAAGCAGTGCAAAGGTTAAACGATCACGAAAAGGAGACGGCCACCGGGCTTTATTTCACCCTGGAGCCGATGCCTCCGGTCTCACCTATATACACGAGTCGCATGGCAGAGCAATATGAGCCTAGGCTGCGGGGCTCCAGGTCATGGACTGAGCCGAGCAGTGATAGAACGGCGCGCAGCGTGGGGTACATGGGGGCGTCCAGGAATCTGACGCTGGGGAACCGCAAGGAGCTGGAAATCTACCCGAAACTGAAGCTGAAGATCATGATCAGGGATAAACTCGTTAGGGACGGGATAAACCTTGCCAGGCAACCATACTCTAATAAGGTGAGTAACTGTGTTTACTTTTTGTCCCGCGTCGGTATAAACCACGTGGCCTGCCCTTGAATCAGACATTTGGATTATAACAGCCTCCCTTCGAAACACAAGCTCAATATAGGGATAATACCTAGGAACCATGTGATTATAACAAGAGGGTAACAATATTTGGCCGTTTGGCTTGGATGCAGGGATATGGAGGTTTGATGACTGGAACAATGCCTTAATCTGGTTTCCAAATTATGATCCATAGCCTACTGATCGATTTTAGACGCACCCTACGTTTCTAATGGCTTTCTGGGATCAGTAGGTCAGCTAGAATTGATTGGCCTGTGCAGGAAATTCCCTCACTCCGCATATATCCACCATTCAACATTGGATAATTTAAACCTGACCCCTCCTTTTTTTTCCTTCATTTTTTTTGCTTGGGCACTGAGGCTGAAAGTTTAAGGTGGATGCAGAGTGAAAGGGAGAAACTCACAGAGGTTTGGGTGTGTGAATATTGCAACCCTGTATCATGTTTAGTATTCATTACACTTTTTTTTTAATAGAGATTTAATGAGGGGGATTTTTTTGAGGTAGTACTGGGATTTAGATGTACAACAACTTAATGCTCTCAGATGACCCCCGGCCTTTAAAGATAGGTGTTTGAGTGTGCACCACAGAGTTTCCTCTTTGGGAAAAAAAGCATCTTTCTCGTGTTTTATAGTTCCTAGCAACTGGGTAGTAAAATGACAAAATACATTTCCAGAAAACTGGACAGCATAAGAAGCTGTTCCACGCATGGTTGTTTTTTGCCTGATCCATTTATTGAAATGAATTGTTGGAGGTGTGCATTGTTTTTAGGATTGTACAGATGGTTTGCTGTATTCAACCATCTGTACTTAGAAGTTACTGTATGCTTTGGTTCAATATCTTGAATTGGATTGGATCATGAATGTTGATGACAGATCAGTTATTATGAGGTCACAGAATCCATGGACATCCTGATTAGTCAAGACAAGAGAGTAATAACTATGACATCATATCAATACTTGAAGTCAGAACAGGTGAAATCTTACTGCCTTAAAGGGGTTTATTCACCCAAAAATGAAAATTCTGTCATTTACTCATATACACATGTAATTCCGAATCTGTATGACTTTCTTTCTTCTGTGGAACTAAAAAGAAGATATTTTGAATAATCCTGAGGTCCAAACAGCATTGAACCCCATTGACTTTCATTGTATGGACAAAAATACTGAGACATTTTTCAACGTCTTTGTGTTTCTCAGAAGGAGTACTAAAATGAGGTTTTATTTTTGGGTGATTCTGATGCCCATTTTTTCATTTAATGAACTGATCATTGATCTCTTTATGAATTGATCTGCAAAAGTCCACAGATTTAAATTAGTCTGCATTGTTCTTACCGGTAAATAAGAAGGAAAAAATAATAATGGCTTCATCTGACTTTGTTTACAAATCAATTAGCCCACAGCAAATGTCTTTAGCCTCTGGTTCTTCACATGTCACACCATGAACAAAATATTCGTGATCAGATATCAGAATGGTTGAATAGTTTCCAATTAAGACAAATCAAAGTGCATCTGACTGCATCCTGCAGTACTACAAACAACGGCCCCACAAGTTACGCCTGCTACTACAACTTATGCTCCCTACAAAGAAACATCTCTTCAGACTGATGGTACCCTAAGCCCTCACAGTCTTCCTTTGATTACACACTTTCGTGACATAATGCCACTTTGACTATCGGGTAGAAGTGTACATTTGAGGGCAAATAGTGGCCACAAAGGGGGTGTTGGCGAGCACCCTTCTGAAACCTAAAATGATGAATGGGACACCCTATGGTGTCGTGGACTTAACAGACACATGCACACTCTGGCCATTGTAAGTCCACAAGTCTGCAAGTTCACATGACGTGTCCCATTTGAGAAAGGGCCGCTGATGTTGTCATTAGTGCTACCCTTCTTCTTTCCTTTCTTCTTTACTTCCTCCTGTGTTTACTTTCCTTGCTTTTTATGCTTCACTATTGCCATCTAGTGATAAGATATGCTGATCGTATCCCATATGTAGATCACTATTTTAATTTTATTGAAGGGTGTAGGGTAAGGTTTGGGTATAGGGTTGGGGGAAGACTTTGAGAATTACTATACAATAAGTCTGCATTTGATTGTA